ACCACACGTTGTATGTAGCTACATAAAGATGCACAAGAACAGCACGGCGAGCTAGCCTACGCGTCGACCAGCTCTAGTACCAGTATTTCATTTTTGACAAGGCAGGCAGCAAGGATGCAGCGTAGCGCGCCTCGGGCGTAGTGGCCATTACCGCAATATTACAATTACAAAGGCAATGGACGTCTATCAAAAATGACCTATGCAGGTGACATACCTGCAGCAGATATGCCAGGCGCAGAATAGGTATATGTCGGGCATACCCCGCAGTCAGTCTACCACAAATGTCACAAATGGTAATTTTGCGTCCGGCTACAACTGTCCGATTTATTTACCGGGTATGCGATTTTGAGTATATTCAGAATGAAACCCGTCAATTTTAGCCGGACATAATTGAGTCAAACTTCTTCTACTTTCCGAGCTTCAAGTTTGAGTCTCAGTTTTGAATCTCTCCCCCAAGGTAATGGACCCCGAGGACGAGACGGCTATGATGCTGTGGCTCTGCGAAGCCTTCATCGGGTTGGAGCAGGAGGTGCGTGACGCCCGTACCGGGCTCTTCAAAGTGCTGCTGGAGGACGCGTGGCGAATCGCCATGCGCAGCCAGCACTACCTCACAGTCCAGTGCTTGGATCTCCCGTGCGACTCGACTTGGATGCAGCTCTACGAGCATGGTACCGACATCAACTTCCTCAATGCTACAAGTCTAACGAGGTACGACACCGTCATTTCGTTTTGTTTCGTTCCAAGTGAAAGTTCTAATTGTTTTGTCTTTAGGGCTTCTTTTTCTCAGTTGCTGAATAGGTTCTCCAACTTCTACTATATGCCTTCACCTGCGTGTAGAGGGCGACCTCCCAAGCTCCGCTACGTACACAAAGTCCTTGGACTTCTCCTTTGCTTCTATGTTGACTCCATGGAACAAAGCACGCTTTGCATGCTGTTTGGTCTACCGCCGAGCGCGTTATCGAGGACCCTACGACGGGCTGAAGAAACGTTGGCCCAGGCACTGGATGGCTACGCTCCGGCGCGAATAGCATGGCCATCACCTTCTCGTCAGTTGAAAACTAGCTCGCATGGTAGAAGCTCGGGAGCCACTTCTGAAGCACACGTTCGGCTTTATCGACGGCAAGAATCTACGCGTACGTTTAATGCTGCTTATATAACTTCAACCCTGCCGTAACTAAGCTCTAATTTGTGGTTTGTATTAGGTAATGCAGCCGTCTTCAGCTGACCTACAGAATGCACTGTATAATGGCTGGCTTCACGCAGTATTCGTCACCGGGACGATCTGCTTTGCGGCCGATGGCTGCATTATATGGAGCAAGCATAATTGTCCGGGTTCTTGGAACGACTCCGACACTTCGCTGGGGTTCCGTGACAAGCTGCTGGATCCAATCTACTGCCCAGACCAGCGGATGAACGTGGTCTCCGACTCTGCGTTCCCTTGTTCAGTAGCCATGACTGGCCGGATCCTGACACCACTCAAGGACGGGGATCTCGAACGCGTTCTGCCTTCACTCCGAAGCTCTGCGCGCACGCTGCACAATGCTATCACCTCCGTCCGGCAGGCGGCGGAGTGGGGCATGGGAAGTATCCAAAAGGTTTACTCGCGCTTGAATCTGCCGCTGCCGTACGACCCAGCAGTCCGTGGTACCCGTATCAATAACCTCTTTCGAATGGCAAACTACCGTGTTCGCACTGTCGGGAGATCGCAGATCCGGACCACATTCAGCGGCGCGATGGAGGTCCCTATGTTGCCGCAGTAGCAACAGATCAGCCGCTGGTCTTCTACGAGTAACTGTAACGAGGACGAGAAGAACATTTGCTTGCGTTCGTATTTGGTAGTTACCTGGGGTTAATGGAAATCAACACTACATATGAACAGCTCCTCCTCTTGTATGCTTCTGTTTTTCTTGTGGGAGTTCGATCCGACGGCAACGATTGAGATTTCGGTCACCTGTATGATCTGGTCCATGGACGTTTACCCCTTCTTAGTGAGCGCGTCGATGAAGAGCAGCAACTCCTGGGTGCGGGCACGTGCATCCTCCCTATCGCGACGAGCACGCTCCTCCATCTCCAGCTTCTCTTGGCGCCTGCGCTCTTCGACTTCAACCTTTTCAGCGCGCTGGCGTTCCTCCTTTGCCTGCGCGGCATCGCGACGACGCTGGTCTTCCTCCAAACGACGCGTCTCTGCCTTGCGTTCGCTGTCCTCTCGCAGCATCAGCATCATTTCAAACATGGAGCTTTATATGCTGCTACTGGATTTCTCGATGCTGCAGAACTTGTCCTTTAGCAGAGTAGTTGCCTTAATCGCACGGGTTCGCTTGGCCTTAGCGGAGCTGGCCTCCGTGATATCTTTGTCATCCTCTTGAAGAGCTCGCTTGGCTCCGACTGTGTCGCGGAACGTGTAGCGATTGGTGCCCCCAAGCCGGTTTGAGTAGTCGATCAATGTTGGGTGGCGCAGAGCTTCCTGTTCGTCTGCACCTCCAGGCTTGTATCCACGGGCTGCGGGTAGAGGCAATGCGTTGGGCTGCACAACGTGGCTCCACCACCAAATGTGAAGCCTCCAACCTTCGCTCTACTTCAAGGCGCCAATTACCGCGCCCAAACTTGAAAGCCGTGGGCTACGTGCCCATCAACATCCGAGCCTTGGCGCGATCCTGAAAGGGCGCCATCGAACGGTTTAGAACTACCTTCTCACCTCATCGACAGCTCCATCTTCTTCTGTGATCATCTGCAACACAACCGGGTTGAAAGTTAGAGAGCTGCTTTCATTTATAACATGTAAACACATGCATCAACGCACCCTACTCGTCCAGAAGCTATTCCTTTCGTCGCTAAGCCTCACAACGTTACGGGTCCGCTTGGTCTTGAATGCTTCGGTGGCGGCATTCCGTCGATCGACATCGGCATACAAACCAGAGATCGTCTCCATAGTCTGCCGTGATCTCTTGTCCTCGCTGAATATCTTCGGTGGTGGCTACGACGACGGTAGTCCTGCGGCCGTTGGACACCTCCACGAAGGACGCCACCGGATCACACGAGTGATTCACAAACCGCATTAGGCCACCCAGGCGCTCCGTGTTAATTGCAACCCGGACCGGCCGGTTTGGTCTTTCTGGGCGCTGGTTCATCACCAAACGGAACCCTCCGTTACGTGGGCGGTTGGCGCGCGACAAACTGACGTGCTCCATTTCGCCCAAATATTGGCCGATCACCTCCCCAGCAGGAATGTCCTCGCCGGCAACCACACAAAGAGATCGAGTGCGCACGTTCCTCCCCAAAAAGATCGTGTCTGACTCGCGCAGTCCGTTCCCGCATTGACCTCCGTACGGGCACGAATTCACATTGCAGTATATGTGCATGAGCGCATTTCGATACGAACCGACTCGGCATGGCTCAAAGCAGGTACACCAGCCCTCGTGGGGTACGCTGGGGAAGACAGTCCCCAGCGGGTTGTACATCTCGCGGAGCCACGCCACGTTGCTCGGCCACTTGGCCAGGATGAACTCGTTGTGTCCGCGCGCAACCCGACGCCGCGGTTGTACTCCAACATCGGAACTGGTCCGTATGAGTCCTCTCGCATTCACAGTAGGAGGCGGTGTGTGGCTCCCCCCCTCACGGGACTGGCGTGGCCTTGCGTACGGCAACGTAGCTGCTTGTCGGTCGCGCTGAGAGCGGAGTCGAGAGCGCGGCGGACCTCGCGCAGACGACGTAGTGGTCGCTGCTGATGGTGGACTTGGTGCCGACTCCAACAGCACTGGCGATGACGTCGTCGGACTGCCTATGATACGAATGGGCTGCACCCTCATATCACATCCCTGAGGATGAGACTGGCTTGTTGAAGGCTCGACGCATGCAATACGCTGCGGTGTCAACAACGGAGGCGTCAAGGTCCCCGTTGAACTGGGAGCTAGCCACGGAGGCGTCATTGTCCCTGTAGAACTCGAGGACGATGGCCAGTTGGACGTCGACGATCCATCGACGTCAATCGCGGTGTCTTCAGTGTAATGGTGCGAGGCGGCGGCCTCGCTGGTCCTGTTGCGAGCGCTGGTCACGCTGCGGGCGGAGGCCCTGTTAGTCTTGCTGACTGTGCTGGTCTCGCGGGCCTTGCCAGTCTTGCTGCGGGCCCTGGTCTTGATGCTGGCGCTGGTCTCGGAGGCCATGCCGGTCTTGCCTCGTGGCTCCCACCGCCTATTTAGCAAGTTGGGCGGAGTGTTCTCCTCGTCGCTGCTCGTATCCGCGAAGCAGCGCAGCCGCCAGTACGACTCAGAATGAGCACCACGCGTCATGAGCCCTGCTTGCATACGCACGTCTCGTTAGCTTAGAACCACAACGATTTTCCGCACCAAAGCGCATCTGTGTCTGGAATAGTAGAGTCTTCGCGGTGGGTTTGAATGTGAAAAGTGGAATTCCCCCAAAGATATATGTCGCCTGGAGTGTAGGTGAATGTTGGCCGTCTTAAAGCATACAAATTCCAATATGTTCAGTTAAGATGGGTTCGCGTCTTAAACCCTGACTGCGGAGACGATATCTGTGTCCTGCGAGATCTGTGCCCTGGCATATGATCGGCATATTTGCTGCAGGTATGCCACCTACACAGGTCATTTTTGGTAGACGTCCAATTGTAAATTAAAATACACCTGCCACTTCAGTAACATTGGTAATAAACATTACCCCAGACGGGTTTAAAACCACCACAAACTCTGCGGTGCGCAAGAGAGCGATCTGTGTTGGATCCTTAGTGGTTTCTATTTTTTGCGGAACCGTAGTACACGTTTTAATTAGTGATCTTATTGCGTGCTATGAGTCATAATTTAAGACGAGGATATTAAACAGCTTAATCTTCGTTTGCTTTGCCAAGACGTCGCGATCTTGCTTTGGTGCGAGCAAAACCTTTTCCACCAATCCTCGCTGCTAAAATCTTCATCTCCAGCCAATCATCGCCAGGACGGAATAGCAAAAGAGAACAGAGAAGGCAAAAGGCTAATTTGCCATTTTCGGAACTGAGAGCAACCGCCTCTACCGGTCACTCATGTCGGAGCCGGCGCGCGAGTATGACCCGCTGTTCCCACGCAGCTACGCAGCTTCGTCTACGACATCCACGTCCACAGCTCCACGATGCTACGGCGGGTTCGAGCAGCAGAAACGCGTGTGGGCTTCAACGGCTCAGCGGTCGCAGCGCATCCGGGTGATCGCAGGTCTTCAGCTGCTATTGGGGTTGCTGGCGTCTGGAAATTACCTGTGGATGTCCAATATCTTCATGTTCATCGTGGGCGTCGTCGGGTTATTGGCCGTGCGCTCTGAGCGCATGAGCTGGACCGTCGTGGTGCGTTTGTTCACCTTCGGTTGCCACATTTCCGTAAAATCTGATTTGCGTTTTTTTTGCAGTACTTGCTGCTGAGTGCCATGGAGTTTGCACGTATTGTTATGCTCACACCTCATCTGTACGATCGGTTTGAGGTGCCAGGATACGCCTTCTCACGCTATGAGTACTTCCAAGTCGTGGTGCTCGTGCTGGAAGAAGTGTTGCTAGTGGTAAGACGTTGTGGGTTGCAACTGACAATTGGGACAATGTACTTACAGACTGTGATACGATAAATGCAGCCAGCAGCTTTCTTCGTGTGCATTGCCGCTGCAGCGTCAGTTGCCAATCCGTTATGGTAAACTGGCCGCTGCAAGGACGAGATTTGTTGCATTTTTTGGGCAACGATTCATTATCAGAGAAGTACGAGAACACACGGTGCGATGGCGTTGCTGTTGCTGTTGCATCAGCCCACTGAGCCTGGATTTATTAGGAATAGTTTTTTATCACATGGTGGCAAAAGTGGCGACACAAAATATTCTGCATGTAGAGGGCAGATTGGGGCGACCAGTTGCTTCCTATGTGTCATGGTCGTGTATTCTCGCACAGCTAACTTAATCTATATCGCTTTTACGACACAAATATTGTGATCTAAGCTCTGGCGTCGATTAGATTAGGTCGATTGCACCTGCTTGTACATGCTCCTGGACGCTGCGGTAGCGCAACACGTAGCGATCTTCACATGTCACCTGCACGAAGTCGCCACCTTTGTCGTCACACTGCACGCCGCCTGCCACTTTACCCTGGCAAAAGACAAATCCGTCCAGATTTGGTTCAGCCACTATTTGCAACAACAAAAAAGAATTGTCAGAACCTTATATTGCCACTGCATACGGCAAAAAAGTTTCATCGTCTCACCCATGCCGTCAGCCGTGAGGGTTTTGTTGTCATCGGAAAATTTGCCGATTGCAAGATCATTCAAATGAGACTCATAAAGCATCATGAATCTATCCAAAATAGCAACAAAGTGAGCAATGTATAGTCCGATGTACATGGAGCGTATAATACTTACTGCTGGGCGAAGTGACGCTCCTTGACAGACAATCGCTGTGTCAGCACTTCGTCTAAAAGAATGTGAATGGCGAACTTCTCAATCTGCCCAGTATGCAGTGAAAATACCAGAATATTAGCGTAGTATCCGGTTTATTAAGCTTGAAAAATGCAATGGATGTCACCTTGCGGAGTCGTGTGCGGAGGTAAGATGAGACAATGTAGCGGAGTCGGTCGATCTCCATTTGGTAGAGTTTGTTGATGAAGGATTTCTCCTCAGTGAGCTGCGCTCGTTCCTCATACACCGAGTCGACGTACTCTTGCTGATTGCGGATCTGCTCCAGCATCTCGGACACCATTTCCTCGTCGTACTGAAGGATCTCCGGGGCGTTCTGACGGCCATGAAAAAACGAGCAAAAGTCGGCCAATTCAGCATCAATTTAAGCGGAAGAACGCGAAGATGGAGGATCAGAACGCGGTTCGTACCAGCTCATTGACCCAGAGCGTACGCATGCGCTGGACATCCTCGTTCAAGTTCTCTTGATCGAACTCTGGCTGCGACGGGATCTCCATGACCGACTCAGACAAGAATGCAATTCCCGCCAAAAACCGAGCCGGTTGAAATACCGGTTCTTTTACGAATGTAGCCATGTTTTGAGAAAGGCACTGCAACAAGCAAAGAGCTCCGTAGCTCGACGTCTGCTGCTCTTTCTCGATATGGTGGTCTTAGAAGTTGTCCACAGCCAGTAGAGAATCCTTCTCAACGCGGAAAAGTCCAAGACAACACGAGCACACGGATCCACATGGGCGCCGTGAATTGCTGCGCGCAGACTGCGCCGGATGGTAAGTGAGACCTGGGAGTTCCGGTGTTGCACCTACAGTGACTGACATCTTGTTGGTGTTGCAGTGGATACATGGAAGACGCGCTCTCGTAGCCAGACGTTGAGCAGAGATGAAGCGAAAGCGCTGATGCCTATCTACGACTACGAGCCGTCGCTATCGCTGGACCACGAAGATCACGCGTCAAGCACCGACAATGGCAGCATGGGGTTCTTCCCAGACACGCCAGAGTCGGCGTCAAACGATCACGGCTTTGAAGACAAGTCAGTGGTAGTTGTGTCTGCTGACGGTGGCGTGGAGATCCAAGGTGATCTCGACGAGGAGAAAGCGCCGCCACCTTCAGACTACGACGAACAGGAGGAGCTTTCACCTGAGGCTCGTGCGCTTCTCCCAGCTCCGAACTCATGTCCTCGTTCGGGTGCGTCATGCCCTTTCCTCAGTAGGGATCGCTCTATTAACAACGTGTTGCTCTTGTGGACAGGCATTAATCTACGCAGACAGTCACCTACATTTGGCAGCAGTAAGTCTCATGCATCGGCACCACGCCGCACTCAGTCTTTCGGCGAAGGTGTGGCTTTCGTCTTTTGCACTTTTTTTCGTGACAGCGATCACTAATGTTGCTCATGGTCAGCCCCAGCGCAGCCGCGTCTTGAGGACTATCTGTGTACGTGCAAGTATTGTCCACGCGCCATGACGATCCAGCGCGCGTTTCAGCTCTACGGCTTCGCTCTAGACCACCCGCAGAGCGAAGCCTTGTTGCGCGTGCTACGTGCCTGTGCCAACTACGACGAGACAATCATGGAGGTGGACCCGCTGTTGGTGCTGCACGCCGAGAAGATGCTCGAGGAGCTCGGCTTCGATGAGGACCAGACCTTCCGTCTCCTCATCGTCTCGCACTTCCAGCGAGCGTAAAGCGGCACCCGGTCCAACGTCTTCGGCACCTAAAAACAGAAGGACAAGTTGAAGACAACTTCAATCTAAAAACTAATTTGCTAAATTTCACAATGATTGGACAAAAGCAACTGCCAATCGTCTTGTGATTCGCTGAAATACGTTAATAACCAATGGCTGCCACAAACGTGTCAGTGTTTGGCTCATTATCCAAAGATCTCTGTCGGTCTCAAGACTCAAGCAGCATGGCTCGCGAACGCACCTACATCATGATCAAGCCGGACGGCGTGCAGCGCCACCTGGTGGGCGAGATCATCAAGCGCTTCGAGACCAAGGGCTACAAGCTCGTGGCTCTTAAGCTCGCTCGCCCGTCGGTTGAGCACCTGGAGGCCCACTACTCGGACCTGAGCGGCCGCCCCTTCTTCCCGGCTCTCATCAAGTACATGAGCTCGGGCCCCGTGACGTGCATGGTCTGGGAGGGTACCAACGTTGTCCTTGAGGGCCGCAAGATGCTCGGTGCCACCAAGCCCAGCGAGTCGGCTCTGGGCACGATCCGTGGCGACTTCTGCGTGGACGTTGGCCGCAACGTGTGCCACGGCTCGGACTCTGTTGATTCGGCCGAGAAGGAGATCTCTCTTTGGTTCCCCGAGGGCCTCGTCGAGTGGTCCGCCATGGACGACGAGTGGGTGTACGAGAACTGAAGTGTTATCGCCCCAGTCGTCACTCCAACAGTGAATGAAGCTGAGGTAGAGCCACCGCCTTCAGGGTGTGCGCACTGCAATCTTCTCTAACTGTAATCGTAACTCAGTAATGAAAAACTCTGTCCTCGGATGTCGCTCACAAGTCGACACTCTTGGATTGCTTTTCTATCTGAAAATTTTATCACCGTTTTGTATTTTTGCCAGTAGATTTTGTATCAATGAAAAAAAAAATTGAGGTGATTCTTGGCAAATCTAAAAATTCAGTGGTAACGCCTGCGACGTCGCTCCATTGCGGTGATGAAATTTGCCAGCTGGAATAAGGACGACAAACACTATGAAAGTGACTATATCGGCCTCGGAGTCTCTACCACTGCTCGTCTTTGCCACCCACAGACACATCTCGTCGCCATATTCTGAACTTGTAGCTCTCCATTGACCGGTGCTGGATTGACGCGCGCTGACTAGGACCCTGTGGAGTCTGGACTGGAGGAGGCACATAACAGAATAGGACACCATGGCTACGGACGAGTACGAGGTGCACGTGTTGCCGGGCTTCATCCCCATCTTCTGGTGCTTTGTGGCCGTGGGCATCGTGCTCTTCTACTACTCACTGGGATACGCCAAGAAATACTCAACCACCGCCGCCTTCCTGCTGACTGTACGGTAACAAGACGATTGTTCTCCTTTATTATTCTAAAAAATTCCAACTTCTATCTCTTCTCTATCTATGTAGCCATTCATCTGCTTCAGCCTCGTGTTTGATAATGCCATCATGGCTACAACAGGGATCGACCGTCGTCGTGCCAGCACCCAAGTCATGTTAGCCTTCCACGCCTGTGTGACGCCCATGCTGCTACTCGTGTGCTACGAATTGGCCTATCTAGTGCACAAACACAAGTCTGTCAATTTCTGCGGCATTTCATTCGAAAGTGGCCACAGAGAACGTGGCAGCAGTTGCGCCAATGCCGGAGCAGCCGCGAGTCTAGCCAAACGACGGTGGTGGCTGTCAACTTGTCTGCGCTTCATCGTGTGGCTTATGGCTTGTGCCTTATTGGTTCTAAATCTCCTAGTGGCTTATCGCTGGACATCGGACCTCACGCCCGAGGTTACCAGTATGTACGAACTGCAGGGAGACAACGCAGCCCACGCGGTGTGTGCAATTCTACCTGCTGTGGTATTGGTGGCTTTGGCTCTGTATATTGGGATTAGACTGTGGAACTATGGCACCAACTACTCGTACATGGTGCACGCCACGTGCTTCAACCCGTGGATCTGGATGCTTGTGGGTGCAGTGGCTTTGCTGATCGGGTATGTCATGCCGTCACCCATCTACGCCTTGTCTTCGAATGCCGGCGAGCTAACGATGATGGCTACAATCGTGCGGATGCTCCGTGAAGTGCATCACGACATGCAACAAGGGCTTCAATTCGGCGAATTCATCGATCCGGAAGGTGCCGCGGCACGCAGACAGAGACCACAGAGTCCCAACGCACGTAGTCAAAGTCTCAGTCTAAGCAAGAGTTTGAGTCACAGCAAGATGGCTGCAGAACAACCAAATGGCTACATGGCGGTCACCACTCCCAAGGAGTCGGAATTACCTGCAACATTTGCCAATCGACTACGTCGCGGGGATGAAGAGGAAAGACAACCCAGTGCCAGTGCTGCGTACCTGTCGGTCGTCATAGCTCGAGAGCAGACCAACCCGCTCTGTCAGTAAGGAAAAGAAGAAGTAGCCAGACCTTTTTGATATTCCTACTACTGTAGTATTGGACGCCGATGTAGAAGAACCTCAACATTATTCCTTTTTTGAAAAAATATGGTTTCCTTTTTCGAGATGGCTACAGAAATGTACCTATACTCCGCTGGAGAGCACCACATGAGCTTCCTTAGTATGTTTCTGCTTCTTCTCCAGCACCTTCATCATCTTGGTACTTCCCTCTCCCGAGAGCATTTTCTGAGCTTCCAGCTCTTCCTTAAGTTGTCGCAAGCGCTTCTCCTTCTTCTTCTTGCCAGGCTCATGGCCATGGAACTTGTACGACAACATCCGGAAGGCTTCCTTCTTGGTCAGCAAGCGACCAAACTCGTCTCGATAGTCCAATTTCACGCCGTTCTTGATACGCAGATCGTCCTCAAAGCTGCGATCTCGAGCGTCGTTTGCACGTCCAGCTTGTCGCTCCACACGCGTCTGACGTAGATCGCCAGTCTTGCGCAGTAGCGCCAATGTCGCGCCCATTCCTGTGCCCACAAGCGGCTGTTCTTCACCCCACACTTCCTTCTCTTGGGTCTCTTCATCTTCGCTATTGTTCTCTTCTTTCTTTTCTTCAATTTCCACATTTTCTTCCTGTTTCTTCTCTTCACTTTGAGACTTCACAGTCCTCAATACCGTTGATACTAGAGCTCCTTCGGCTGCAGCTTGGAACTGAGCTGCACGCTTCTCCATGGCGTCTCGTAGTCGCGTCTCAAAGTCTGTGGCTTCGTTAAACACCACGGTATTCGCTGTAGTGTTAGTCTCACCAAACACGTGTCCCACAGCCTTACTATCTGTCTCTTTCATGACGCTATCAATGGCTACATTTGACGTCTTTTCTTCCTCCAAACTGATAGTTTGACTCGCCAGTTGAGCGATTCTGTCCTCATTGCTTGTTCGCGTCAGCGTCTGTTGCGTTGACTGCCGCGCACGAGCCAAGGAGGCTCCAAGTTCCATTTCTAATGCGACGTCGTCAGCCAGCTCACTATCGTCAGCCACTCGTCGCTTTCTCTTCTTTTTACTAGCAGCCAGCGCCTCGGAGGCCACTGCGTTGGCCTTTTCTCGAGCTTCCTGGAAGCGCAGTAGATTCTCTTCTTCTTCGGCCTCCTCAGCGTCGCGAGTCCGCTTCCGCTTCCCACGATCTTTCGAGGAAGAAGCTCCAGATTGCAACGCCTCCTGTTCCAGCTGAGCCACTAAAGAAGAAGCGTCGGTTTCTTCTTCTCTAGTGGTCAGCTGGACTTCCACGGCGTCGTCCTCGTCATTCTCTTGACGACGACGTCGCGATTTCTTTTTTTTACGCAACTTTTTGCTCTTTTTGGCAAATTGCGCCTCTACCTCTTCTTTCGTGTAATAGTCCTCCACTCGCTTGGTTTTATCCATAGCAAGAGAGATCACTGCGACGTCCTCGTCTTCCTCCTGTTTCTTTTCGCTCTCCAAAGCTTTCGACCCTCCCGAGGCATCGAGCGTAAACTTCCTCGCTTCGGCGGCGTCTACTGCCTCTTGCTCTTCGTCATAGTGGGCCAGTAACTTGGGTCCACTCTTCCTTTTCCTCGAGCTGCCCATCTCGATAAACTCATCATCGTCATAGCCGGTATATACCGGTAATACCGCTCGCTTCGCCCTCTCCTGGCGAGCGAGGCGGCGGTCCTTCTCGCTGAGCTCAACGTTCACTAGCTCGTCGTCTAGTTCGTTCAAGTCTTTGCCGTCTTCCCCCAAGACACGCTGGTCTTTCAGAGTTAATACAATTTCCTGTCCGTCCTCAAAATTGTCCAGTGAATGGCCCACAGTCATGCCAGCTAGAGCCGAGGCGTCATACTTCTCTTCTTTCTCCTCTTCTGGCGTTTTTTCACGTCTTGTCTTCGTCCTGGACTGTTTGACCCATTCCAGCGCGTCGTTTCCTTTCTTTTGAGCTTCCAAATCGGCTTTAAGCTGCTCGCCAAGTGATTTACCCGCTATTTTCTGGGTTAATTCCCGTCGCGTCTTGGACTGTTGCAGCTTCTTCTTGAGCTCCTGCTGCTTGCGCTCGGCGTCTAGTTGTGCGCTGGTCTTCTGTACATTTACGACTGATTGCTCTTTCTTGGAGGGACCCACTGACAACGGCTTGAGACCCAGCGAGATACGAAGCTTATTGGTCTCTTCGATGCTCAGAGAGATCTCCCCACTCTTGTCCTCGGAGGACGCTGGTGGGTCATCACGATGCCGACTGCGACTGCGACTGCGACGACGGGATGAGGGTGCGTGTCGGTCACGTCGAGAGGAAGACGAGGAGCCGCCGTGCCGCCGAGAGCGCACAGGAGACCGAGACCGCGACATGATGAATGGATTCAAAATTTAGTCCACGTATTTTTTGAGACGTATTGTGCAAAATATCAGTATGCGAGGAAAGTAAAAATCTACTACAGTTTGTACTACTGGTAAATATACTACTAGTTGTAAAGTAGTAGTATAGTAGTAGTAGATTTAAAAACTAATAGGTGAGTGGATGCTTCGTTCCCAATATTGGAGAACAATTTCGCTGAACGCCAGTACAATCACGTATTTCAACGTGTAATGGTGGCTATCACTAATTTCAAAGTGTCGAGTTGGTTGGAAGGAGGCGGGTGAGGCGAAGAAGGAGAATTAGAAAGTGAGTGAGATTAGAACTTAAGCAAAGCCTGCTTACACCTAGTCTGCCTGCAGTCCTTGGGTATCGTGTCCAGTCCAGCACGCTGTCGTGTCCTACCTTGAAGTAGACCTTGAAGTTGCCAAGATGACTCAAGTTACCGCTGCACCTGCGGTCTTACCACTTGATGACGCGTGATATGTAGACCGTGTGCCGCACTGTGCTCACAGAGTAGCACGTTCCGACACTCCCACTCGGCACATGCCAAGTCGCGTGACGAACAAGCTGAAGTTTGCTTGTGGCAGCGGCTTGGTGAACATATCCGCAACCATGACCGCGGTCGAACAGTACACAATCTTGATTGTTTCGCGCTGCACTTGCTCGCGAATCCAGTGATAGCGGAGGTCAATATGACGCGATCGTTGCGAGACGCCCTTGCCTTCAGCCACATGCTGAGCTGCCTGGTTGTCCTCGTGGACTATCACCTTGCCCACGTCAAATCCCAACTCGAACAGCAGCTGCTTGAGTCCGATACACTCCTTGGCTCCGTGCGCTAGAGCAACATACTCTGATTCAGTGGTCGACAGCGTAACAATCGGCTGCTTCTTCGACCCCCATGCAATGCAGCACCCGTTGAGGAATATATTGAATCCCGTCGCCGACTTGCGCTCGGGCTCGCAAGCAAATGCAGCATCACAATACACTTCCAGCTGCAGCTTACGCTGAGAAGATCGACGGTAAACAATCCCCATGTCGGCCGTCCGCGCGATGTAGCCAAGTACACGCCTAACTGCATCTTGTACAGTGCGGGTCGGCTGCTCGGTCTCTTGTGCGATCAGGCGAACTGCTGTTGCGAGATCAGGTCGACTAACCGTTGATGCGTACAGCAGTGAACCGACTTCAGGACGGATCGACTCATCAATGACTTCGGCGTCGTCGGCTACTTGGCGTTGGAAGTTGCTGTCCATTGGTGTCCGGGGTTGCGACCTGTCACCATGGCTGGCGAACCGCTTCACAACGGTGGCAGCGTACTTCTGCTGTGCGATCGTCAGCACATCACCGTCCTTGTTCCAGTCTAGCTCCATGCCCACGAAGCTGCTTGAAGCATCGCACTTGTTAATCGCGAACCGACTGGTGATGCTGGCTTGAAATGCAGCAAGCTCCGATACCAAGTTGCTGAAAATTAGCATGTCGTCTACATAAAGTAGCACAACCACAATGCTGTCAGTAGTCCGCTTCACCAAGACACAGGAGTCCGACTGGCATTGCACGAATCCAGTCTCGCACAGGAACTTGGTCACGGTCTCATACCAAGCGCGTGATGCCTGTTTAAGCCCGTACAGGTCTTTGCGAAGCTTCCATACCGTTTTGTCGTTGCCCTCGGTGGGTGGAGTGACGAAGATGGTTTCAGCAAGATTGCTGTTCAGGAACGCCGTTTGCACATCGAGCTGAAGATGATCCCAGTCCAGTTGAACAGCCAGAGCAAGAATGGCTCGGATCGAGTCGTGACGTACAACTGGGCTGAAGGTTTCCGTGTAGTCCACGCCATACTGCTGCGTAAATCCCTTTGCAACCAGCCTGGCCTTGTACTTGTCAAGTGATCCATCAGGCAGTGTCTTGCGTCGGAATACCCATTTGGTCTGCACTGGACGCACATTCGCTGGAGCGAACACTTCCTCGTAAGTGCCATTGCGACGCAGGCTGTCCAGCTCACTGTTGATTGCTTGACGCCACTGTTCTGCGTCGGGCCGAGCCATGGCTTCCTGCAACGTAAGCGGGTCGCTTAGCTCGCTGACCAATGCTGTCTCCTCCGCGTTGTGCGACTGCTCGTAGTCCAGCCTACGCACGGATTTCTTCTTGATGCGCGTACTGCGACGAGTTGGCTGTTTTTCCGCGCGAGGATCAATGAGATGTCGCTCCGGCAAGTCACTCAAAGGTTGACTGCCATCCGCGTCACTAATCAGTTGACTGCCATCAGAGTCCTCCATCTCGATGTCTTCTTGGATCGCTTCGAGATAGCGAGAAGGTGCGACCCCATCCACTGGCTCGTCATACACCTGCGTTGGTAGTTCTCCATTCAGCGTCACCGTCGTGTTTCTCGGTACGCTTGACTCAAAGAATACTGCAGTCATGGAGACAATAGCTCTCCCACTGCCACCGTGACCACTGGGTACCCAAAACCGGTAGGCGCCGCTCTTCTCGTACCCGATGAAAATCGCCTTGATGGTCTTTGCGTCGAGCTTGTGACGCTGTGACTTCGGCAGTAGGACTTCAGCATCACAGCCAAATACTCGAAGCCTGCTCAGCACTGGGGCGCCGCCAGTCACCGCTTCGAACGGAGTCTTGCCACCAAGTACCTTCGTTGGGCAGCGGTTCCGGATGTATGCAGCCGTCAGCAACGCGTCACTCCAGAAGCGTTTCCCCAAACCGGCAGCCTGCATCATCGCTCGCGCCATTTCCAACGACGACTCGGTTACTGCGCTCAAACCTTGCCGTTCTGTTTGTGGTGTGTATGGGCGTGCTGAACTCCTGTGCAATCATGTTTTCATTGCCGAAGTCAGGGGATTTCTCCTCCCACGTATTCTGCCGCATTGTCGCTTTTCAACACCGCCACTCTTGCACTCGTGGATCTACACCGTTGAGGTTTGCGATGTATTCGCGTAGCGCGCTCAGCTGGGTGGCCGAGCTCTTGTCCTTGACAGGGAAAAACTGAGGCGAGGTGGTATGGCTCGATCATCATACTCACCATGCCTGTGTAACCGTCCCGTGACGTGGTTTCCATTGGCCCCACATAATCGATAGCGATCACCACCTGCCCGCGCTTGAGCTTTCGCGGCTTCTTTTCCGGAAATGACACACTGGCCAGTTTCCCAGCTGCACAGGACCCACAAGGGAGCAGCCGCGAGCTTCGGGTTGTCACATCACCGGCTTTCAGCAACGCCTTCAAATCCCGAGCATTCAAGTGGCCCAATCTGGCGTGCCAGGTAGCTAAGTCGTCCAATTGGTCTCCAGACGCGTATTCCACCTCAGCACAATTGCCTGTGCTGAGGGCCGATACAACATACAGCCCACTGGTGCGACGTGTAGCAAGTAGCTTATCGTGACCGCTGGTGATGACACAATGCTCACGATTGAAGGTTGCCGTAAGGCCAGCTGCTCCGACCTTGCTCAAGCTCACAAGATTGCGCTTGAGGCCTGGGACGTACAGCACGTTGTCCAGTGTGCAGGTGCCGCCAGAGACGAGAGGTAGGTGAGCCGTTCCGCGATGCGTAGCGCTCAGCTTCATGCCACTCGCAGTCGTAACCACGATGTCATTGTCCATCTTGTTCAGGCCATTGAGCAGACCACGCGATCCCGTCATGTGACTCGAAGCTCCTGAGTCAATGATCCAGTCAGCTCCCACCGACTCTGCACTCGAGCTGACTTGGGAGGAAAAACCGCTTTCCTCACCTTCGTCGTCGTCTTGTCCAGACGTAGCAGCGTGGCCAAAGGCACCACCAATTTGCTTGGCCTTGCACTCGTTCTTGAAGTGACCGTACTTCCCGCAGTTGAAGCACTTGCCCTTCTTCGCGCCTGGCTTTCCGTGCGTAGCAGCAGCAAATGCATTACCACCTCGCACAGCCTGCGTTCCACCACGCTTTCCGCGTTGCGTCTGCGTCGTGCGGCGCCTGGCTTCGGTAGCCGCCTTGATCAGCAATTCCTCCATCGAAGCACACGATTCCAGCGATACAATGTAGCCATTCCAGTCAGGTCCAAGGCTCTGCAGGAAGTTGCTCTTCTTTTCCGCGTCCGTCAGAACTACCTTGTAGCACTCCAGCTCAGCAAGCATCAGGCGCGTCTGGCGGACGTGCTCCAGCATGTCGCCACCAACGTCGACATAAAGCGACATGTACTCTCGTTGAGAGCCCCAACGGTTGTGTCACACACGTGACGATGCGTCTTCTGCAGCGCCCCCCAGCATGGCCTTCGGGTGCTGAAGATCAGCCACCAACGCAGCTTGATCATCCGTCAGCGCTGCCAGAATGATGGTCATGGCCAGCTTCTGCTGCATCTCCAGTTGGTGCAGCGGTCGCTCTTGCTGCCGTAACGGCCGATCGGCTTGGCCGGACTCTTCGTTCTCGAGCTGGAGCAACGTCGGTGCGGGCTTCAGCACCGCGCTCCATACGTCCTTCACCTCCAGGTAAAGTTGGAGTTGCCGCGCCCAGACTCGGTAGCCCGTTCCGTCGAACTTGCGAAGCTTGGTCGTGAACGCGGTCGTGGTGTTGGCACTCATAACCTGTCGAGTTGGTTGGAAGGAGGCGGGTGAGGCGAAGAAGGAGAATTAGAAAGTGAGTGAGATTAGAACTTACGCAAAGCCTGCTTACACCTAGTCTGCCTGCAGTCCTTGGGTATCGTGTCCAGTCCAGCACGCTGTCGTGTCCTACCTTGAAGTAGACCTTGAAGTTGCCAAGATGACTCAAGCTACCGTTGCACCTGCGGTCTTACCACTTGATGACGCGTGATATGTAGACCGTGTGCCGCACTGTGCTCACAGAGTAGCACGTTCCGACACAAAGGGGCCAGTATAAAAATAATGACAATGGGAGAATTCGTGTATCGTTTTCTCCAGCTTCAGTGAATCGACCTTGTGTGGATGGGGGTGCTGCTCCCCCACTGGGGGAACAGCACCAATCCTAAACGAACCAGTTATTTTTCGCAAGCGTAGGACGGC